CATATGGTGCCATTTCACCGTTGGATACTGTAGATATCTAGTGGGCAGCATTTATAGATCACCTTCATGCGGACCAGACCACAACCAGGTACTGCTGAATGCAATTCCAGCGACACAAGACATGGGTTATGATCAAATTGTCATAGCTGGAGACTTCAATCCCCCATCTCTTAACTTGATGATGGGATATGCCCATGATAGATTTGATCGAAATCCGCTGCATACCATCAGGGAGGCCGGATTCACTGAAAATGTCAGAATGGATACTAGATGGGGCCCAGATGGGAAGTCTTCTAGACTGGATTACGTGCTCACTAGTGACCAGCTACTAGTTGAAAACGTTCAGATCACGACTCCCATAGGTAGTAGTGACCATGCGGTCATAACATTCGACATAGTCCTCCGCAAGCGTTTACAGTGGGACAATACACAGGCCTATCTGTGTTATAACGAAGCCAATTACACCGAAATGCGAAGACTTTTGTCTGAAGCAAATTGACCGAAAAAACTGGACAGAGCTTACAGTAGAAGAACACTGGGGAGTAGTAAAGGAGATCATTCACCAGGCGGTCTCAGACAGTTCCTTTAGTCACACCTAAAGCTAGAAAGCGACTTTCATCGCTAAGAAGGGGGACACAACGCCTTCTACAGGCGAAGCGAAAAGCCTGGTTTGCGTGGCGAGTATCGAAGAGTCAACCCGAACATGAAGTGTACCTCGAACTCAGGAATCGATGTAACATACGAGTCTGGAGTGATAGAAGGACATTTCAGAGAAACCTCACCAATAAGCTTCTCGTGAACGCCAAAAGCCTATACAGGTTTGTGTCTGAAAGAAAACCGACCAACCAGGGAGCTTGCAATCTAGTGGGTTCTGATGGGAAATCTCTTACTAGTCTTGAAATGGCAGAGACATTCAGTCTAGCCTTTCACAGGCAACTGAACAGTAACGAGGATTTTATTCCCACAAAACATCAAGATTACAATGCAAGACCAAAGTGCTAAAACCTGCTGGGTACATTTCAGATTACCCCCGCTATGGTACTCGTAAAATTGGGAGAGTTGGCTTTGGGAAAGTCTGCAGGTTGCGATGCCATAAGAACATCCGTCCTGAAGCAGTGTTCAGAAAGTCTCTGCCAACCCCTAAGTGATCTGTTTCAACACTCCTTTGATGTAGGGAAACTTCCACGTGAATGGAAACGAGCCATCTTATCCCCTATCTTCAAGGGTGGTGACCGGCAGAATGCGACCAGTTACAGACCAGTTGCGCTACTCCCAGTGATATCGAAGATATTGGAAAGTCTCACTGACGACCACGTGAGAAAATACTTCGACGGGACTAACCTACTCCATGAAGCACAGCACGGTTTCAGGAGGGGAAGATCCTGTGTGACGAATCTTCTACTACCTTGGAACGATTGGGCACTATCCTGGGATGTAAAGGTACCAGTCCATGTGATCTTTCTCGACTTTGCGAAAGCATTCGACACAGTTCACCATGGTCTGCTCCTTCACAAAATAGGCAAGGCGGGTGTTTCTGGAGCACTTCTCGCATGGCTGAAAGATTACTTAGGTGAGAGAGAATTCTGCACCAAAGTCAACCGCATCCGATCATCCTGGCACACCTCGGCATCAGGGGTTCCTCAGGGTTCTTTCTTAAGGCCGTTGATGTTTTTGATTTTTATCAACGACCTGCCCTGTCAACTGAACTGCCCTGCGCTTCTTTACGCTGATGACGTAAAGATTTGGGGAGCAATAAACCCACCGGAAGACTCCGACAGATTGCAGGCTGACCTGCAAACTCTGGGAGACTGGGCTCTGGCTAACGGAATGCCTTTCGACCTAAAGAAGTGCAAAGTAGTGCAACTTCATTTCGGCAGGTCACAGAGTGCAAATTACACCCTTGGTGGCCAGAAATTGAGTTGTGTGCCATCAGAACGCGACCTAGGTCTTATTTTAACAGAAAAGATAGACACCAGTGTAAATTACACGAGGGACGTCGCCAAAGCTTACGCAACTTTACACTTTATGCATAGGCAGCTGGGAGCTCTTACTCCCGAACTATTCTTAAGGTTGTATACGACATACGTGAGGCCACTCCTTGAGGTGCATAATATCATTGCTCCTCCGCTACTCAGAAGGGATGCTAACATTCTAGAAAGTGTCCAGAGACGAGCAACAAAATGGGTGATCGGCCTCCGCAACAAATCATATGAGGAAAGACTGAAGAAATTAAGTCTTTTCACACTTAGTTACCATAGTCACAGGGGAGACCTCATCACCATCTATAAGATCTTGAATGACCAGGCCCACCCTAATAAAAGCATCCTGCCATTAAGTGATTATAGGCTTCCACGAGGAAACCCGCTAAGGATAGCACACCAGAGACCAAAGACTCGAGTGCGTTCACATTTCTTTCCGCTTCGAGTTTGCCGTCTATGGAACGCTTTACCGGCGGCCGTGACTACACCGCCATCTGTGGAGACTTTCAAGCGGAAGCTCGACAATCATACAGAAATGCAAGGTTTGTGTCTCAATGGCTTATCCTCTTAAAATTTGAAACCACGCTGTCAATAGATAGGCATGCAAGCTAAATCCCCACGACCCGTCCTGTCTTCTCCCACTGTACCGACTACTCTATCTTTTCTTTCTTTCTTTATTATTTCACCTTTATTATTTCACTTATCTCAACCTATATTGTCTACACTACAACCTATTATTACTATTCTGCTTTTATGACTACACGGAATGACCAACAGGTGTTAGGTCAAACTCCATTCACGGCAGCAACTCAGTCCTAACATACTGCACACTATAAACCACAATCTTGACCAATCTTCGCACCACTCCTCTTGGAGTCTACCAGAGCTAAAGCAGTCGAGTGGCGGGATTTACTACGCATAAGTTCACCGAAGATCTGTAACCTCTACCTTACAATCAAGAAGCGAGCTCAAAGAAATCACTGGTTTATACTAGCTCGTAATCAGGATATTGGATATTGGATATTGGAGGGTCAGCATCCAATGTTCAGTGATGAATGCTGTGGCCAATAATTCTGGGGAATTACCTACTGGAACCTTTACCTCACGGAGCGAGCACAAAGGCATCAAACTGTGTGACTTCTGTGACGTCTTCTCGTCTGATAGTACCACCCAGGGATATGGCGAGGTCACTGCCATCGCCACTCAGATGCCCTCAATTGTGGTAGAGCACACAAAAGTCCTCAAACTACTGTCTAAACTGAAGCCAGGTAAATCACCTGGGCCTGATGGACTTCACTCTAAACTGTTAATTTCCTTGGCGGATATAATATATATTCCAAATGTCACTGACCCAAGCTAAGCTACCCAGGGACTGAAAGGATGTCATTTTAAGCCCTATATTCAAAGAGGGAGACAGGCAATTGGTATCTAACTACAGGCCGGTAAGTCTGACATGCATTATAGCAAAGGTAATGGAAACTATTATAAGGAATCAGCTATTAGCTTGTGTTGAAACACATGGCTTACTGGCAGTTGAACAGCATGGATTCCGACCAGGACGATCCTGCTTGACAAACTTACTGTTAGCTAGGGAAGATTGGGTCGAGGCCAGAGATAAAAACCTTCTGTTGGACGTGGTTTTTATTGATCTCAGCAAGGCATTCGACAAAGTATCCCACTTAGGTCTCCTTAGTAAACTTAAAGGTTTCGGACTAGACCAATGCCTATGTGAGTGGTTTACGGATTACCTAATGGATAGAAGGCAGAAGGTTAGAGTTAACGGTGTACTATCAGGGTGGAAAGCAGTATCCAGTGGAGTGCCCCAGGGAACTGTATAGGCCCCTTGCTATTCCTATTATATGTTAATGAGCTACCAGGGATTCTTACTTCATCTTCATTGTTATTTGCAGACGACATTAAGATATGGAAAACTGTAAATAATAACGAGGATAGGTCGGCCCTACAAACTGATCTAGACAAATTAGCTGAGTGGTCGAACCTGTGGAGTTTGGAAATGAATTCTAGGAAAAGTGCAGTAATGCACTTAGGTCAGAAGTCTTATACGTCGTACTCCCTAGGAGACACAGAACTACCTGATGTTAACGAACAGAAGGACCTAGGAATCATTGTCAGCAATGATTTGAAAACAACTGCAAATTGCAATGCAGCCGCATCTAAGGCTTTTCGAATGCTATGGGCACTCCGAAGGGCTTTCAAACTATTAGACGAGAGCATGTTCCAAATACTCTACGCAACATATGTCAGGCCTCACCTAGAATACTGCATACAAGCGGCGGGTCCATGCTTCAAAAAGGAGGCATATATCCTGGAAAGAGTACAGAGAGTAGGAACGAAATTAGTTAGTGGTATCTCACACCTTCCTTACGATAAGAGGATGGAGCATTTAAATCTCTTTCCGTTATCATACCGAAGGAAGAGAGGCGACTTAATTTTAGCATACCTGTAGTGGATCAAGTTTGAAAAAAAGCATCAGTTCAAAAACCGATGGACGCTGAACTGTAATAGCCTAGCTCTTTGTACCTACATGTATATAATTTTCGGACTTCTGTTGGTGTAATTCGGTGTCAATTATAAAGTGCTTTTCTAAAGTCGTGTTCTGCTTCTCCGCTCTACTCTGTGTGCTTGACCTGTGTAATTGTTTGTGTTCTATTACAATACCGTATACTTAAGGGTGATTTAGGAACTGACCTTTCTAAACTTTTCTCTCCCTCTAGGATACATTTACGGGGTCACCGCAAAAAGGTGCTCAAACCGAAGACGATTAAAATACGTGCAGAATTTAGATTCTCTCACATAGTGGTCAACGACTGGAACTCCTTACCTGACTCAGTAGTAACAGCTCCATTGGTGAACCCTTTCAAAGAGAAGTTAGATCTCTGCAGAGATATATTTTGCAAGGATTAACACAGGCCACAAGAGCCTTCTATCTTTATCAACTGAATCTGAATCTGACTAGCTCGTAGAAGCAATATTGGATATTGGACACGTTTTTGCGGAAATCTTGGAGTGTGTGTTACGTTTTCAGGACTCATTGGATGAATAGTTCCAGTTAGTTTTACTTGGTGACGTTATACTAATGCACGCTTTAGCGAAGTTATAGTATCACATTTTAAGTAAAAGACTTGTCCAAAGTTGATATTCATGAACCTATCAGACCTGGGTCACGCCGTGAAACATCATTCCAGACCAAACCATGTCAACCTTTTTGGATTTGGCCAGGATAGATACAGTATTCTACTTATTCCTTAGGTGCTGTTTCTATAAATCTCTACTGTTAGGTAGGGTTATGGTTCATAATCAAGGGTCAAGATTAGGGGTTAGGATTATGCATAATGCTGTTATGCAATGTATTCTGGTTGCAATGATTTTAATGCATTTCCAACGGTTATGTGGCATTTTCGCTCAAGGCGAATTTGTTTTAGGCTATGATAGTCTCACTTCGACCACGCTTGTTTAACTATACGAAATTTTGGTGAATTATAGCTCTTATAGTATAGTATACAGATAGCCAGTTAGACCCAAAATAGAAAGCTTTGAGGCGATTTCATATGTTGTAAGGAGGAACTCAACACAAAAGTTCTGGGTAATTGTATCATTTCACTCCTCGGAAGATACACGGAACCCTTTAAATCTACCTTGAAATACCCATATGTGTACCCCAAAATTTCCCCGAAAGCCGCCAAAGGTGTCCCAAATATTTTTTTCCAGACAGATAGTAAAAACCTGTGAGTAATGGGCTTAACGGATAGTTAGGAAACAGTCGAATTTTAGTTGTATGACATTATTTTGAATGAAATTTAACCAACATTTTACCAAAGTGTAGCTAATATTTTTCATTACTTAGCAACCACTTCTCCATTTTAACCATTCTTTGAGCAGTATTTTCTCATTTTGATCAATATGAAACCATTCTTTGCCCATTTATGACTGCTGATTCGGAAAATATATTTTGTACCTGTATAGATATCGTCATTCCAGGTTTGCGCACAAGCTGTAATTTGTATAATGAGTTTTGCTTATCATTCCAGGAGTTCTCAGAGCACAGTATTATCATATACTCTTTCCAGTCACCGTATCTATTTAGAATCTGCAAAGGCTTTCGGTATATTGATTTCATCAAGTGTATAATCAGAGTAGTATTAGTCAGAGTGCATGTAGTGGGTGGAGGTATTTTGATCAATTGACTCAACTTTTTAAAACAAACTGCGTCATCTCAGAATTTCTCAGTATAGTTATCCCACAACACAAAGTAGTTCTTGTGATGCTGAAAACATACGAACTTGCCAGAAAGTTACACTATTTGAGTACTGTTAAACACTATTAACCCGAATTGTCACTAATTACTTCTAATTATATTTTCCTATAATTACAGATGTAATGGCTGAAGCATTGCCGTCTGTGTGCATTGTTTTCAGTGGAAAAAGGAAATCTGGCAAAGACTATACAGTTAGCCGATTATCTGAAATATTTGACAACAATGATATCACTTACTCAATCGCACGAATTAGTGAACCGATAAAATCTTATTTTGCCCAACAGTACAGTTTAAATTTATCAGAGTTACTATCGTCGAATTCATACAAAGAAAATTACCGAAAACAAATGATTGATTGGGTGGAAGAAGAAATAAAACGGGATTGTTATGTATTTCCACGTAAAGCTCTTTCTGAATGTATCGGAAAGTGTAAACAAAGAAAATGTGATGTTATTATTGTTTCTGATGCTAGACGTATGAATGATATTGAATTTTTTATTGACACATTTACTCGATCCAAGTGTCTTTTAATACGCATTACATCACCAGTAGGAATCAGGATAAAGCGAGGCTGGTCATATGTTGATGGGATTGATAATGTTGCATCAGAGTGTGGACTAGATGAATGTACTGACTGGGACTTAGTACTGCAGAATGATGGGAATGAGGTTGCCTATGAGAACTACTTGAACGATATTGTATCATGTGTAAAGAAGATATTAAGTGCATCTCTGTGATGTTTGTTTAGCAATCGATGACAAGTGCTTGATATTCCTGGAAGAGTGAAATCCCGAAGTGAGTGTTTGACTGCCGAATCATGTGATTTAGTGGATAGACGAGACGGTGGAATTTAGAAAGCAGTTATTGAAAGTATTTTGCATGACATGAAACTTGTTCAATTGTTATTGGAAGGCTTTCAATATTATATGATAACTTGTGTGATCTTATGCTTGTCTACATAACCACAAAACATGGAGGAGTTAACATAAAGGTATAAAAGCCATTCACGCATATGTTATTTTGCCATAGGTGGAGTTATTGTCTAGGAATCGTAAGGAGTACAGACCTGTAATAGACTCCATGAAGGACAGGGATTCAAGTCGATGGGCTGAAATTTTAAAATTAACTATACTGCTGTAAAATATTTTTTCTATTGAAAGCATATTCTTTTGTACATCTGGAAGATTTCTTATGTTTGCTTGTTTATAATATGCTTTCTTGAAAGTTCTTGTCAATGGTAAAATTTTCACTTTGACCACTGGGACTTACGGAGCACCATTGTCGATTTTAAAGCTGTAATTGTTCCACATTTCATTGTCAACTTTAATTTGAATTCCTGTAATAAATTTTTATATAAGTTGTACAGTAGTTATTGAGCACTGATAAGTTGATTTTTCAAAAAGAAAGCTAGCTAGTATGAATTTATGGAGGCGTGTCTTTCAACTACTGCAGTACCTCTTCACTAACTGACTTGAGTGTCTACAAGGATGCCTTTTGGCAGATGAAGATGTTGTTAAATGCTGGTGAGTAACTTGAAAGTTTTCGCCACTGCGTGGGATCATCATGACTAGACGTAAAATATTGCTGAAGTAAAGACTAAAAATGTTTATTGTTATAATTGTAGTTATATAAAATAAGAGGCATTCAGTGGAGTTACTCTTTACAGCAGCATCATACTCAAGTTGTACAACTGCATTCATATGCATATGTATATAGTACGTTTCTCCTTTAGGTTGTGATACTGAAGGATTGTTAGGCTTATCGACCAAAGTTATTGAGAGCAGTTTTGTGTTTTGAGTGACTGTCATTCACTAGGTAATATTCTAGAATAGGTTCAAATAAAGTATTATAAACCGCAAAATACTGCAGAAAAATGAAGGGAATTTCATTCTCAAGATCAGAAGGGATGCAGGATGGTATTTGAAAGTGTTTTAGACGAAGCAGAAAGCAGAAAACTTCATTTCAGTCTCGAAAATTACAACATTTGCCAAGATGATTCATAGGTTGTCTTATCTAGGACTAATTTTGAGTTTAAGTCGTGTTAATGTCACTAGCATAAGTGATTTATAAAAGAGTTAGGTTGGTTGGCCCAAGTTCTTTGTTTCGAATGACCTTAATATATTCACATCATATCTGGTACTAAGTTATTATGTATGGTACTGCTTCAAACATGTAAACCTTGCATATTTCAAATAGCTTTCGCAAATGTCAACAGACGAATTTGTTGAATAGGGCAAGAACAACAGAACTGTAGCAGGCTACTACTATGAGATGCATCAACAAGAAGGAGGCATGGGGGACGCTTTCTCTAAACTTGGGGAGCTATAAGTTACAATCAAGTAGTGATTATATCACTGTCCAGTGGCATATGAAAGATTTTTTGAGATAAGAAACTGGAAGGGCAGTTATTGGATCCAGTGAATGTTAATGGTTATCCGCAGAAGTTTATTGAAAAAGATGGAAAATCTGGTGTGTTAAAGGTTGGATTGCAGCGTAGTGATGAAGAAAACTGTCCATCTGTAGTTTGTCCTCATGAGTGAGTATATTATCAGTAGGAAAATATGCAGACTTAATCCTTCACTAAAGGGAGCCTACCCAGTTACCAGACTCGTCTGTTTGTACCAAACGAATTGTTGTTTATGACAATGGAAAGTGGTCAGATTTCCATCTCATGTTCTCTTCAAGTGTATCAGTAGGATTTACATGTTTGTGCAAAAGCATATACATTGGAAGAATATAGGAAAGACTTATTGTTAGTATTTCTCAACTCTGTCTGAAGAACTTGCTAGTAAAGGATTTACAGGTATTAGTTAGTAAGATCGCATACCAACTTCAAGACATTGGTCATCTTGTCGCGAGCCTGAAGGCGTTAGAAATAATCGGTAGGCGAGAGAAATCTAGCCTTCTATGTTTTGTTGAGGTAATCACCATCCCATGGTTGGAACCATATCTGTACATGGACAAGCAGAGATAGTTGTACAGTCGTTTAATGACATTTAACATCCTGTATATTCTGTTCTGAATCAAATCTATTAGTTTTCATCTGAAAGTTACTCACCTTACTCTTCCTGCTTCTGTGAAACATTTCTCGTTGTTGCACTTAACCTATTGTACTAACATGATACTTCCAGTTGAACTTTGTTTCTCACCCATTTTGGAGCCGCTGCCTTATTTTCTGGTCAACAGCATTCATTCAATTATTCTACAAATATACAGTTAATTCTTTAAACACCTCATTATTTAGCTACTTATGTCATCATTCCAGACTTCTGTTACTTACACTTCATTTCAGTAGTCTGTTGTCAATATGATGAATGTGTATTAAAGACCTTCATTTGAAAATAACAATTATAATTATATTCTGGTGTTGTTTAGGTTGTAATAAAAGTGAGCTACTATTTTTCTGCCACATTTTTTGTTCTTTCTTTCTTCAAGTATTTCATTGGGAAGAACTGTATGCTGTTTCTTAAGCACATCCCCCTGATGACTAAATATGGCTTGAGGAGTAAAGCTGAGGCGGTTAAGCACATTTTCGGGCTGTTTCAATAATTGCCTGGTTTGTTTCACTCCGACCATTCTAATGGTCCATCAGTGGCTGAATGGTACAATGCTCACCAGTCACACGGGAGGCTCGGATTCGACTACTGGCTGATATTCTATTATAGCTCATATAGTTTATTAGCCCATAATAATCTCGAAGAAGGGGAAACTTTGGAAGGCATGGGGTGGGTGGTGGGACGTAAAACTAACACCATGAAGGATAAATCCCTGGTCAACAAACAAGTCAAGTAGCATATGATATATATATGTATAAGAACAAAGTTTCTCTCAGGAATGAACAAGTAAATCTGTCATAAGAGAGGTGTTGAGTCTTTGTTAACTGCCTAACCAGACACAATAAAATACAGTGAGTAGGACTCATAAGATCGAAAAGTCAAAAGTTGGCATATGGGAAGTCGAATGGAAAGATGATGATGTAATATAGTGAGTAGAATTCATAGGACTAAGAACTAAGTCTGATATGAGCGTCAAACTGTAAAAGGAAGGAAGTGTAAGCGAGGCAATTGGGAAACAAGGAGTTGCTATGGTGAAAGCTGCCAGACTGATTGAAGTCCTACAACAGATTCCCTTTGAAAACATAAATCAGGTTTCAATCATCTTATTGAGATATCCTCAACAAATCGAGGAAGAATTGAGCCATTATTTCCTATCAATTAATTCAATGCTTACAATGCATATACTTGATATCCTGAGTTTATCAGATGTTTGGCGATTGACGAGTTCTTTGATTGGACACTAATTAAGGGGTGCCATTTGTTTAGTCCTTTGTTCGTCTTTTGTGCAGACTGAATTCTATCAGTCAAGTTTGCAATGTGGCCACCATACAGATACGCCTTGTAGACTAGTGCCAACTAGAACGAAACCCAGGTCCAGAGCTTCCTGCCGATTGTCTCCAACCATCTAATTGACGAGTTGAATAACCCAAGCACATACAAAGCATGACTCAGATCATTTGATACAATGAGTGCATCGTCTCCCAATCTATAGTAGGTTATTGTTTCACTGGTTGTACATTTCAGTTTTGTCCATTCATATATAGAGGATATTCTAAAACTGACTTTTGGTAGACGGATGAGATGAGCGTGTTGACAGATGATGTCTAAAGTTTGGTGGAAGTAGGCTGTATGAATAGGGAGGTGACATCGAATTTGTGACTACGAATGTGTGTAGCACACATCAAGCTGGCTCAACTTCCCAACGAACCGGGACGAGTCCTCCAGAGTAAGTTTATCCAGCCCATATCGAACGGGTTCCAACTTCTCAGCTGGAAGGCATCAGTAAGAGAAAAATTGAAAGCAAAGGAGTGCTGGACAACTGCTTTGCGCTTTACTTTGACGTAATCAGGGGTCTTTAGCTGAACAGCTTTACATATAAACCAATGTGAATTTCAAGGGATCTATCAATCAATTTGTGTGAAATACGTCATAGATATGTCTGGATGTCACAACAGTAATCTGCTTCCTACGTATTTCTGACTCACCTTGTCAGTGATTTCAAATATAATAGGAGCAGTATATTGGTCAACGTACATCAGTGGTTCGATGTTCCAATGTCCGCCAAACATGTACGTGGTCCAGGTGCGATTCACGGCCAACACATGCCTTAACCTCATTCAGCCGACAGTTAGCAAGATGAAGAGAGTGACGTCACTGCTACTGAAACCTCAACGATGAAGCTTGAATTTCATAGTGAAATTGACACCGACGTAGCAGGTAAAATTAGGTAGAAATGTTTATTGGATAAGTGGAGAAGAAGAGTGCAAAGCTAAATTGTCTACCTGCGTAAGCAACACCTTTCTTCTGCATACATTATTGAAGATAAGGCTACTCTGTTTAGGGACCAGTATGTGAATGTATTTCAAACAACACATCAACTCATGTTCATAGCGTTTGGAAAATAGTGTCAGATAAATGTGTAAATATAACACACCTGGATGGTTTATATTTCAGAAGATGCCATAGGTTATATTCAGAAAAGTTGTATGTTTGCAGGTATTCATCTTCAATAACTCTCGTTTCTGATTGTGTGATGACACACTGATGAGTATTTTCAATGAAATGGCCAGTAAAATATATGAACGAAATTTCGGTGAGCATCGTGTATACTGGGAGAATGAGTATGAGTAAGTAAACCTCACTGTGAAGTAATAATCGGGGAAGTATTTTCGATGAAATGA